CAGTTAAAAGTAGGCAATGAATTATCCAACATTAAAAGTGTTGGGGCATAGAGTTATGGAATAGAGCTATGGGGCACTGCGAAAAGATCTAATACGGACAAAATTCAAACTTTTCAATCAAAAGTTTTGCGGAAAATTGCAGATGCACTTTTCTACGTTACAAATGACTTGTTACACAGGGACTTGGACGTCCAAACGATTTCACATAGTGACAGGGAAACTCATAAGTGAGTTTCATAGCGCAAGTTGCGGTACATTATGACAAGATTTCGAATTTTCGAGGAGGCCATTTAGATGGGGTTATGAATTTTCGAAATTAAAAGTTTGCAACTACGGGATAAGAAGCAAACATGGGGCAGACCGCAGCAAGTGCAATTATAATTCATACAATTTCTTAAATACAAATTTCGCTTTTTACCGTTTTTAAGAAGAGCAGAGCAATAAAATACTTTTGGAAGGAGGAGAGGGAGGTTTATGCGCCATTGGGGTGACGGACACACCTAGATACTGGAACACGATACTACAAAACACAAAACTATAAAAATTTCCACCACAGACTGAGTTACGACCTCAACCCGTGAGCCCAAACATTTAATTTCACGACGAACCCGTATATCCAACCCCGACGACTTTTAAGGTGATAACCAAGAAACCTAACTTAATCCCTGCCCAGGAGTGTACAGATTTGATTATTATAAAAAACACTATGCAGATAGTAAATGGTTCCAAACTTTTTAGTTTAGTGAAACATGTAACACATAATCCAATATTATTTGAAAAGTCGTTGACACATTAAAGCTTACTTCAAATCATGCAAAAAAACAAAAGACTTATCATCCTATCAGACTAAAATATGAATAAAGTATGATTTAAACAAATCTTTCGATATTCTGACGACTAATGATAGTATTGTCGAACTAACATGAAAACTTGTTCGGGTTTAGAATAAAATTATTGTTAACAAGGATAGAATAAAATTAACCTTAACAAGGAACGTTAAGGTTTCATAAAATCTTTGCGGTAATATGTAATCATTTGAGGGGAATTCAACATTTTCATTTAGCACAGGCAGTCCTGACCAGTCAGAGCATCTGCGTTTTCGACATTTTTATGATTTTAATTAGGGAGTGGGTTAGCGCAATGGTAGGGTACTGAGCTTCCAATGCTAAATGACCCAGGTTGGACTCCCGGCTCATGGCAGAAAAATTATTTATTCTGTTTCATTGGTCGTGGTGTGACCCTGGGCAGGTAAACCCTCCTGGGGCAGCACACTCAGCATCTATAAAGTGAGTACTCTTAATTATAATAATTGATTAAGGAGAAAAACCTGGCATGATCTCGTCCAAATCACCTTCTTGCACCAAGAAACAGTGCTTTTCCTAAATAATTTTGAATCAAAGATCCTTCATGGGTTGTAGTGGTACAAGTTTTTTATTTACATATATAATTTTAATTATTCGATCATTAATTTATTATGATCTAATCATCTTTATTTCATAAAATTATCCTACTAATCAAGTATCGATAAAAAAATAGCTGTGGTCATACAAACCACCATAACCCTATTACGTAGCCTTAACCTAAGAAGAGGTATGATTTCAGACTATATTTGTCTACGAGTTTCTCAAGGATCAACTATAAAGTACAAAAGTTATTAAGATCACCTTTTCCTTATTTATCTGGTATTAGTAAAACTTGATAAGAATTAGGTTCAGGTTTTATAGTTTTAATGACCCCAATATTTATGTAGGAAGAGAGTCAGAGTTTTACTGAATCTCTTATATTTCATTCTAATATGTGGTTTTTGTTAAAAGTAAAATGTATATATTGCGATGAAAAAATATAATGATAACAAATTACGAAAGGTACTTCGGAAATGTAGTCAAGAAAAAATAAAAAAAGGATTTTATGCCTACGATTTAGTCTCAGTTTCAGGCCTTCATCAGAACTTGTTTGTTTGAAGACCTGAAAAACAAGCTGAATCATTGGCTTAAAACGAAATAGTTTTTTTTTTTTTTTTTGTGATTGCAACTCAGCTAGCTTCCCAACCATATTATCTACAGTACAGTACAGTATCTACAGTATACTATTTCTCCACAACTAGAAAAAATAATAATCCATATGCATCTTTCAAGGGTATATTTACTATATATATATATATATATGTTGTCATATATATGAAGATTGATAGATGTCGTGAATTTTCAAGTTGTTGTAGCTTAAAATTTTCTTAAATATTTTTTTGATATGATTGTATGTGGGTAAATCTCCGTTGTTCAATCTCCACTGACTTTAGCACCAGTGAGGTGGTTGAGAAAGTTGAATAAAAACGAACCCTCGATATATAATATACGGCTATCCAGTATCTTATTAAGAAAAAAGACACAGATTATTGTGATATTAAGGATGATCCGAAATATATATTGATGTCATGCATTAAATATGCTGTAGAGATACCAATTCTTCAATAAAATTAAAACTCTAATAAATAATGACAGGCCATCTTGTAGTGATATTAAAACAAACCCTAATTCAGTTTTGGAAGCGATATATCACTTTGTGAACTCTACAGATATTAAATTATAAAAAAAACAAAAATGCTTTTAGATAATGATCCAACTAAATAAATCATTCGGAATAATTACTATTTAAAATTTTGGCTAGTGGCGCCAAGCTAAAGCTTAAGAAAACAAATCCGGTACTTTACCAAATAAATTATGAATCAGTTCTAAAATATGAATACTCTTTACTTATCGTAGTTCGTTGGAACTTTACATGAAAACATTTTAAAATAATTTAATGATGATTCATGGAGTTCCAATAATCACGGTTGGATTCAAGCATAGTATTTAATTTAAAAACCTATGACAAATCAAACATTTAACTGAAGAATATCATTCTTCTTTCTTTTTTTAGTTTATTTTTTTACTTTTCTTATTTTCTCTACAATATTGGACTCTACGAAAAAGTGAGATGCAGCTATATCATCGATGTTTTCGATACTTCGACAGTAGTAGTGATATATAGAATTATCGATAGACCTTTCGGAACATCACTATTACATTCGAAGATGATTGAGAGATTTTTTTTTTCTCCGATATTTTGATTCGAAAATCAGTATGAATCTTTTTTTTTATTTTTAATTATATTATAGAGAACCCTCAGATATTCTGGACTTCAAAATGGACGAAGTAACCCGTTAAATTGTCGGGTGAAAAAATGAGAAATAAATGAAATAAATTTTTGTGAAGTATAAATGATTTGTTAAAGATGTTCCTCGAAATAATAAAATTATATTGAATTATTATATACTCTTGAAAATTTAACATTAATAATTTTATGTAAAACATGAACATATTAAACGATTATTCATAATGATTTTATATTAAACACAATCACAATATAGTTGTACATAATTTATAAAGTTGAGTGTCCCTATAAAACATAACCTCACTTAACTATAAGTAAATATAAAAAATGGAGTAAACAAGGAGAATTATTGGGCAAGTTCATGAGCTATTTGTGCGTAAATGACATCGATGATCTATCAGACTCTAACTGAATTCATAGATGGCAGTTAGCGCGTTCTTTTCTTCATAGATTGCATTACCAATTCGTATAATCTAAGTGTTAAAATTGCTCAATTTATTTTTAAAATGTATATCGTTTACTTTATAACCCGTATATATTTATATTTTGAAATCCACAGCAAGATATATCCTTTCCATGTATTTTTTTTTACCTACTAGGAGTGTTAATCTATCAATCAGGAATCAATCAGGTCGTTTCTAAACTCAGCATAAGTCAATATTGTTTGGTTCTTTATTCAATCGATTGATAAATTTCATCTGTGAAAATAGCGCTGAGTTTAGGAACTTTTCCATTCTAATAAACTAGAAGAGTGAACCATTAAATATAGTATGATCTAGTAATGCTGCATGAAAGTCGAGATGCCCAAACACTAGTCAACGTCTTAACTAATGATATCAACAGTGTAGATGATTATTCCTGTTCTGTTCAACTGTATACCGGCATTTAAATATCATTATTATTACTTATTCATATTCCTTTTTTTAATCTATTAAGATCCATTTTTCGTGTTTTTCCCCCTTTCATCATTAACAAGATTACCATAAAATAACAACGATGATGATTGAAGCAAAGAAAGGCAGAGTCCAAAAATCATTTATCATGTACTCAAACGTAAACATAGCTAGGGAATAACTCAAGTTAGCTGGCCAAAAAAAGATCAACAGGTGGTTGTTCCACTCTCAATTTAAAGTAATTTTTTTCCGAAATATGTTGTTATCAATTTTAATCACTAAATTTTGTTTTATATATTTAATTCCAAATAACCAAGGATGAATAAGTCGCTAAAATGCATCCTGTATAACAAAACCTAAATACAGAAAATAAATGAATCACACTTACCACGTGTATAAAATTGTATAACGACGTCCCATGATGGATAGATATCATTTATATAAACAGGTTTATACATAATTTACATTGTTTATATTAATATCTTCTGAGGTTAAATAAAGGACAGTGACTCAGATATTTAAAATAAATAATAATAATAATAATATAAAACTGTTTTTATGTATTCACTTAATTAATCAGGTGTCAACAGATTGAAATTAGTTCATTTCGATGTCCAAAATGTATTCGTTGAAAGTTAGATATGTCAAAATGTACATATTTTCGAAACAGCAAGTTCTCAACTCTCGGATTACTGACCATGATAAGAATAAAATGGAAATGTATGAAATAAAAAATATGTAGATATAGTAAAAGGGCAAGAGAGATAGGGTGGTAGTGAAGGAGGGTGGAGGAGAGGAGGGGATGGCGGTGGGAGGGGCGGGGCACCTCCCCACCCCGCCCCCTTCCCCCTCCAGCTTCCTCCCCGGGGTGGGGGCCGCCTCCACGGCCGAGTCTTGTTCAAGTCCTGTCCGGGGTGAGACCGTGATGTGAGTGGAACCTCTGATAGCTGTGACAAGATGAGCTCGTACCAGTTCGTCAATTCGCTGGCCTCGTGCTACCAGCAGGCCGGTCGCCCGTCCCCCGATGGCCCCCAAAGCCCAGACTACTACCCCCAGGTCAGCTACCCCGGCTGCTACTCTCCGCAGCAATATACTTCAGGCTACATGCAACAGAGTCCTTCCGGGATGATGGACTACACTCAGCTGCACGGCAGCAATCACCAGCGCCTCGCTTCACACTTGCAGCCCCTAGGGCACCCAGCGGGTCCGGTATCACCCGCTCTTAACAATAACACAGTGACAAACCTGTCGGGATCCACGTCCTGCAAGTTCGCTGACAGTACCACGACAAGTTCCGGGATCGCCTCCCCGCAGGACCTGACCACGTCCTCCAGCGGCCCGGGAGGTCCGAGGAGCACGCCTCCGAAGACTGGACTTCATTCGCCGTCCGGAGCGCGGGCCCCGTCGGCTCCGGCCCCGACATCCCAGACGTCTTCTTCCCCGGCTTCTTCAATATCATCATCATCGTCCACGACTCAGGGAACTGCCGCAAAGAGTCCCGCTCAACCGGGTCAGAACCCGCCGCAGATATATCCCTGGATGAAGAGAGTTCATCTTGGACAAAGTGAGTACCTTATCATATCAGATATCATTATATTAACAAATAAAAATTTCCTTAACATATTTATCATTGAATTACTCCAGGCGCAAAACAACAGAACTATAACAAAAAAAAAAAATTATTTACTTTACGAAAAACACAATACCAAAAAGACAACTTTTCCCTCAAAATGAACAAACAGAAATAAGTATGCTATTTAACATTCCAAATAAAATCTAGCGGCCCATGACAGAAAAGGGCGTGGCTATAAGACCTTTATCTATTTAATATCTTCAACCATCGCCCATGTCAGTATATGAGAAATATGGAGCAACCAAATAAAAACATATAATCCATTAAGCAATAATAAAACTTAAAAAATGCAATCAATGGAAAGTATTAAAAGGGTATACTGTCACAAGTATAATTAATGTTTCCTTTCAGCTTAAAAAATAAAATATAGTTAAAATATGTGCCTAGGTGTTTAAGAAAAAAAACGTCTGATACAATCAGACTGATAAGATTTTAAAATACACATGAAATTTTATTGATTTCTTTAATAAAATGTAGAGCGCCCACACCTAATACGGTGGCCTGAAGAACCTTTCGAAAGACAAATGACCCACGAGTGGGGTGCCAATTAACAAGTAACGTCATAATCGAGTCAATATAATTAGGAAGCCGTGCCCCCACAAAGGCCCGGGGTCCTATCAATGGGGCCTATCACAAATCATCCTCTCCATCATAACTCATCCACCACTTCGCCTCAATGGGTTCCGGTCTCGGCTAAGGAGTACTCGAGTTTAGGTCCGATCACTGGATATTAAGTGCTTTGTTTTATTGCGGACTCGCGGCGTTCAAGTCTCCCAATCTAACCTTTCTGCTTAATCAGACTTTTATACGAGACATAAAATTATTTAATGCAATTCTATCTTATTCCATTAATTTTGAAAAATAAAAATAGTATTGGGAAATAAATACAAAATGATAAAACCATTAATAAAAGTTATCATGTGATAAAAGATGTAAAACCAGAAAATGTCATAAAAAACGTCAATATAAATATTACAAATAATAATAAATTGTTTGTAAGAAATATATCTCACACATCATTCAAAAAATGGACATTAAGATATGATAATTAAATGGTCTTTTAAATTATATATAACAATTCAAAAAGGCCATATAAATTCATAAAAAACGAAAAAAATATTGACTAATATAATTATAATTTTTATCATAATGAAAGGATACCTTTATAAATATTTACGGAACGACGTTGTAAACAATATCAATTATTATTGAATTGGAGTCTGAACTCAAACCTTTTTTTTATTAGAATTATTTTAAAACAAGAAGTAATAAAATAATAAAGCTTCTAATAATATATATATATATATATATATATATATATATATATATATATATATATATATATATATATATATATATATATATATATATATATTTAAACAATGATTCCAAACGAAAAAAACAATAAGAAAGAAAAAACAGGAAAAAGGAAGAATTTAAAACTGAAGAAAAAAATTACTATTTTCATTCTATTTATAAAATCTAATATTTTTTTTTTTTGTCCAACTTATCATTAAAGATCGTTTTCTCATATAAATTAGTAATATTAGAGTTTTTATAAATTTAATATTGAGTGTATTTATTTATGAAGCACCTAATTTTTGATAATATTGTGGTACTGAAATAAAAGAAGAAATGAACAAGAAATTATATTTCAATAACATTTAACAAAAATGTTGTTTTATTTCATCCATTAAAATTTGTCCGTAATTATAAGGAAATCACAACATATAAATATTTTCAAACTTTCCCTTTGAGATTATTATATATTCAGAGACACATTACAGAGAAAGTACTACACTCATGACATAATACCTTATTAAACATTTACCTGATACATCAAAAATCTGCATAATAGTTATCTTACAACAAGATTTACAAGATATATTAGAAGCTACAAAAGTTATAGCTTGACAAGTTTTATTTTTATTACATTTTTTTAAAAATTCTTAACATGGACTACGCAGTAATTATAGCGAATTAATAAACCAGCTTATTCAATTATTCACGAGAAAAATTCATTCCGCCAATTACAATATTTCAGCCTTACATCAAAAATAATGATATAGCACCCAATAATTAATAAAATCATCGCACAAAAAATTGCTTAAATCGGTGTTCATTGGATATTACTAATTGATGTTTATAACTGTTGGTTAATATTTATAAATGTTGCAATTATCATCCTGCTTTCGCAAAAGAATATTATGTTAGCTCAAACATTATAAAAAAAACGAGCAATTGAATACACACTTTTAATAACACTTAAACAATGTTCACATAATCGAATTAACGCTAACATATTATTAACTTATTTATCGATTTTCGATATGAATAATATTAAAAATGAGTCCCACGACATTCAAGGATCCATGAATGAAAAATGAGCAATATGTGGAGAATTCTAATTTTTCTTGTGAGAATTTAAAATTCAAATATTGTTATATTTGCTTATCGGATATAAATCATCCACTTACTTGACCATATTCGGTCATCAGGCCGATTTATTTATTTGTTATGATATTAATCAAGTTTGAAATTAAAAATGTAAACTGAAGGGAAGGCAGTGAATAAGTATCAAGATCCATCAAATTTAACAATTTCAAAACCTTGAAAATAAATTTTGTTATATTCCCTCGTAATTCTATAAACAAATTTATTTTTATGTATATTATCTAGTATTTTCCTGAGAAATGAAAATAAATTTGAAAAACAGTAAAATTAGACAAATTCAACATGATATATTCATTTTTAAATTTAATATTTCAAATAGATTTATCCTATGTTAACAAAATAAGTTAATTTATTTATAATATATATTATCTTAAAATATATATTTTTATTTGGTTAGAGAAAAAATGGTACCTAATTAGCAACTTGTTACATATATATATTTAAGTGGGATGAACGAATGAGGTAGAAAACCATTTGATAATTGCTTGTAGACTTACCAAAATTACTTTTATTCATTTGCAATTCGTTATGGAGTCCTTGATTTTTTTTTTTATTTAAGTCCTTTTCTCAAAAGATATTTTTAAAACTTTTATCAACTTTTTTAAAGATTCATTTTTATAAATGTTGTTAGGATTAATAATGAGTATAATATATAAAATCTTGATGCCTAGTCAACTTTATTCTCCTCAATATATTGAGGCAGTAATGAGGGATTTTAAATCAAAAATGGTTTAAACTTATGTTGTTTTTTATCAACCAGTTGCAATATTATTTTTAAAAAATTCTCTTTAATATATTTCACACACGATTTTGTTGTACTGATATCTCTTTATTCCAACAAAATGAGTGTAAATAGGCAATTATTTCATTTGTTTTTCTAACAAATTTATAGTCGTTTTAAATATTAGATGTAATATAGATACTATTATTTCATTAATTGGTTTTATCATCTTCGAGTCAACATATACATTGTTAGGTGCAAAATTAAAATGATATCGTTACTTAAATTATATTACTAAAAGAAATTACGAACTATTAAAGCTATATTTCATTCGTAATAGGCGCAGGTGTCTCACAAGGCCGACGCACTGTGACCATCACTGTGTTAAGTGACGGTTCATTGTGTATGATCGCCGCTTGTGGTAATCGGGTTCTTCACTATGAAATTATGAATTTACATAATAGCCGATAGATAACTCCAAAATATTTCAGAAGCTCATTAGATATTTTTTGTTTACTTTTCGAAGCATTGTCCGCAACCTAATTATAATAAAATGGTTCACCATTTTTGGTCACGAAATGTTGGACAAAGAAATAACTCTAAAAGGAATATAATGAACTTTTATATTATAAATAAAAATTAACATTTTTAATTTATTTTAATAATTAAATCTTCGGTTTATTGCAAAAAGTCATATTCAAACATGTTTTTGTGAACTTTGACTTTATTTATAAATACAAAATTTCATAAAATGGCATAAATCCTTTTATCATATATAGTTACAATAAGTGTACAATGTTCTTAGTGTTCTAAGATTATGAAATATTACTTAATGACTTCTTGCAATAAACTGGCTTTATTTTTATATGGTGTAATGTTTTTGTTTTTTTTATACAATAATATTACTTCATCTATGAACTTTTTTTTAGACTTGTATATTGAGAAATATTTATAATAGTGTTCAGAGAACCCATTCACACTTTATGTACAATAAATAAAAATAATTTAAACAGCAAAATAACAAAACTAAAACTAAATGTATATAAAAACAAAAAATAACCTAATCAAAATAACATAATTTTATGCAATATATACAATTTTATCAAATAGAAATATAATCTTATTTTTTTTTTTTATAATGATCTTTTATTTAAAAAATAAAAACAGAAAGATTGCATTTCGCAATGTTTGAAGTACTATATATTTTATTTTATTTTTTTATAATTTTAGAATAATATGTGTATGGCAAATAACACTTCCCAATAATGAACTATTTAATATTAATGCTATTTAACTTTTCATTATAAAAGTTTTTTAAACTTACATTATTATATATTATTATTATTTCCTATTGCAACAGTTTCAACATAAAAATGTCGAGAAAACTTCATCTTAGAATTGAATCATATGAACATGTTCATTTTTAATGTCAACTTCAAGGAGAATTTCTGAATGATCTATTTGATACCATTGAGTTATATAACCCATGATAACAAAGAAATTAATTATTACATGGTTCCATGAACCGATAACATAGAACAATTAAGATATATTCTTCATCACAAACCTATTGTCATATATTTCTGAATTATCATACAGTAATATACATTTGAAAATAAATAAATTATTGTATAATTACAATTTTTGCTCCTTATAGATAAAAAAAAAATACTCCGTTGAAGTGAATAAGAGTGTCCTAAATTATTTATGTATGCAGGATGTAATGATAACATCTCGGCTTCATGTTTTTTAATTAATTAGTTTCATACTTCCAGTATATGTTCCATTCATCTTAACAATGAAAAGGAGAGTGAGTGTAAAATATAGGATCATAGTTGTTTATTAAAGATTATGGATTATGGTAACGATATATTATAAATGATGATTGATTAATTATCAAAATCTTATTTAACAGAAGTATTATATAAAGAATATTCTATGTTCTATATGGTACAGATGTTTATATAACTATTATAACGTTCTGTTTATGAATATTTGAAAAATACATGTTTATACATAAATTAATTAATTAATTATAAATTCTTAAATGTATATACATGTATATAATATAAGTATATATTTTTTAATATGAATATGGCTATGGCTAAGAAATGACCCTCTACTAGTTAAATGTACACATCACTGAAATGTTGCAGCAAATGAGCGTACATAATAACACATTTTAATATAATAATATGTTTAATTCAGGAAGAGCAAATAAAATAGAATAAAAAAGCTTCATTCAGTACTCCGTGATCCTAAAAAATTTAAATCGTAAATTATAAAATTATTTTAGCTTACCTTTGTATGGAGACTTAATGACGGGAACCTGGAAAATAAATTCGTGATTAGTTATAGTGGAAGATGTGATGAAAA